TAAATCAGTGGAAAACTACTGATCAAAACATTTATTCCCCTATTTGACAGTTTCTGAGAGAAAGTTTAGTCAATCCAGACACTCCACGTATCTTTCCCTTTTTTTTGGCACTTTTTCAAAACTCGGTATTAAGATTTGGCAAAAACTGGGTGTGTAATTCTCACCACTGCTGCAGTTCTATGAAAGAAGAGTTTTAGCTAAAAGCTTCCAAAGATTGGAGCTCTGTCTGGGATTTTTTTATTTGTTCTTCAACGTGCTGCTTTTCCCCACATGGGGAATCAACGTCCGACCCTGCACTGCCTTACAGAAATAAACCCTTCACAGTGAACCACAGGCAACAAAACAACTCTCTGGCCTGGCTTCCAGCTCCTGGCTCTGTACAGATAGATTCAGATAAATAATGAAAGCTATATCCAGAGTTGGCAAGAGTACCACTGTACGTACCTCTCTCACATCTTCCGAAGTCCCTGCCAGAGCATTAACGCATCATATCACTGCCTAAATAGCTGAATGCCAAGCACAGATCCTGCTGCACTAAAAATGCACAATGGCTGCATTCCAGCCTGGCTGCTTCTGACTCATGTAGGAAAATAAAATAAAAAATAAGGCTTCACTCTTAATAATATCCATTATAAATTACAACAGTAATACCAACACTATAGCTATGTGTAGCTATGTAATTGTAATAGAGATTTGCCTGTTTGTCAGCTCCAACTCAGCTGCAACTTTCTGGAGCAGAATCTGTGTTCTTTTGTTGCTCAGCGATGGACTGATTTCTTACACTTGACCCATATCAACTAGCAAACAACACTCCTCGCTCAGCTCTGATAAATAAAGTTCACATTTGTCTCGTGCACAGGAAGAAGCTTCCTTTAAAAAGTGCCAAATGGTTTAAACCACAATTTCCTGCACAAAGCTGGCACAGGTTGTACTGTGGAATCTCAGTGTGCTTTGCTTCCCAAACCACTTTCGTTTTTATTATCTACAATTCTTACAGCAATTTCAACCATCTTCACGCCAACTTTCCCGGATCCACTTTTTATTTATTTTTTTCAGGATAAACGAGATCCAACAGAGACTTGAGCAAAGCACCAGCTCCAGCAAAGGGTACACATTTCAGTCCCTAGGTGATAAAGGCAGAACACAGCTAGAAAAAATGCTCGGGACAAACACAAATAAGCACATGGGAAGCCACTGTCTCATTCACTCCTTAAGGAATAAAGCAATAAAGCAGCAATAATACTTCTGCAGCCAAGTAACACCTTTTTCTGCTAACTTTAATACACAATCTAAAAAATAATGCATTGAAGTGATTATTAAATTGTAAAACAAGAGTATCAATTGTAAAGCAAGAGTATATTAATCTTAATAGTAATATTTACAAATGAGAGACTGTATTGGTAAATACAGTAATTGTTTGCAAAATAAAACATGAACTGGGGAGAGGGATTTCATCTGGAAACCAGTCCATTGGTTTCACCACTGATTCCAAGGGTAGGCATCATTCATTCCTTTCTTGTCCATGCTGATAAAATTGGTATGTGAAACTAAATAATAATGCCATCATCAAAGCTAGTAAATATTACTCAGAAAAATGAAAACCATGTCTCTACTGAAGCTAATACAGGAAATTCTGAAACAGTGAAAAAAGAAATATAAAACAAGTAAATGCAAGGGCTTGAGTTAAAAAAACAAAACAAACAAACAAAAGAAAAAAACATATCTACTGTCTTGATACAGTTCTAAAGGCAGACTGAAAAAGTGAAAATACTTCTGAGTTGGGATCACAGAATCACAGAATTTCTAGGTTGGAAGAGACCTCAAGATCATCGAGTCCAACCTCTGACCTAACACTAACAGTCCCCACTAAACCATATCCCTAATTTCATCCCTAAGGATGAAATAGTTTATCATCATCTCAAAAGAAACACAATGAAATTGTAAAAGGAAAAGTGTTGGAGAGTCTTTGCCTTTACAACTTATGTGCATGGAAAATCATTTGTTTTGGGAATGAAATCCAAACAGGAAAATGAGCCCCCTCCCCAAAACACCAGCCACTGAAATCCATCCCAGCTATTCCCTCTGTGCTGGTGCCTGCCACCTCCCAAGTCCTCTCTTCACTTCCCCAAAACCTACCCTCCTTATGCAGCAGGACTGTATTTGCCTGCAGAGATGTGATGCTGAGCAGCCATACACATCCCCCTATGCTTTTCCTGTGATGCAGAACTGTAAGGGTTACTCAGTAAAGGAACAGACAGCTCCTCCAGCAGCAAGCAAGGCAGAAAGAGAAAAATATTTCTTTTATCATCTCACAATTTCAGCATAGAACCTTACAGAAGTTTTACTTTAAGCAGATGCCCACATCCCTCCCTGCTCTGGAAAGCAGATCTGTACCTATATCTCAGGTGATTTGCTGAGCTGTAGTACAACACGGGATCCAAGGGCATAGCCTGCTGCAGGCTGTCACTCAGACTTCAGGCTCTTCTCCAACACTTTTAATTTAGATACATGAAAAATATCATGACTGTGCTGACTACATACCCATCTGAAGGAAACAAACAAGCATCCAGCACACCTTTTTTATGTATAGGAAAGGTTGACAAAGATTATCTAAACAGCAAAAATGAAATCAAATCTCATACAAGCAGAAGGAAAAAAAAAAATAAAAAAATTCAGGTCTTTATTGTCATTAACAGCCAGGGTTAAAATCAGTCAAAAGCAGTTAAAATTCAAGACAGAAGCAATATGATAGATACACAAATCTCTTAACAAGATTTTTTGGCAACAGAAAGTCCAGGAAAGTTTAACTGCAGTACCTTCTTAAATGTAATTACTCTGCATATTTAAACTATGCTTCCAGCTCTACTCTGCAGTGGTACTGTCTCATCTCAAGTGATGTATACAGTTTTGGGCACCGCGATACATGATAGATGTAAAACTATTAGACAGTGTCAAAAAGAGGGCAGCAAAGATGGTGAAGAGTCTGGAGGGCAAGATGGATGAGGAGTGGCTGAGGTCCCTGGGTTTGCTCAGCCCCGAGCAGAGCAGGCTGAGGGGAGGCCTCATGGCGGCCTGTAGCTCCCTCACGATGGGAGTGGAGGAGCAGGCGCTGAGCTCTGCTCTGGGGACAGCGACAGGACCTGGAACAGCACAGACCTGGGCATCAGGAAATAGTTCTTCACCGAGAGAGTGGTTGGGCACTGGGACAGGTTCCCCAGGGCCATGGTCACAGCACTGAGCTGCCAGAGTTCAAGAAGTGTTTGGACATTGCTCTCAGACATGGGGTCTGGTCTTGGGTGGTCCTGTGTGGAGCCAGGAGTTGGACTTGAGGATCCTTGTAGGCCCCCTTCCTACTCAAGATATTCTGTGATTCTAAGTAAAGCAAGCTGTTTCGCCATCTAATGCAGAACAGTAGAACATGCCTTATCAGTAGCAATGTGCTGTAGTAAAGTACTTATAAAAGTACTATAATAAAGTACTTACTTTTATTATTCACTGGCAGCATTTTAAATTCTCACTTTCTATTAGAAAATCTGAAGATCAATAATGCTAAGGAAAGATGTATTCTCATATCACTTCTTCAAAACTATGCCAAGAAACTGCAATGCTTTCTGAAATCTAGTGCTCTTTCAGATAACACTGATTGAACTGATGGCTACGTATGCTCTCCTTAATGTCCTTTTAAATAAAGTTGAATTGATCAATTTATAATTGAAAAAAAAAAAAAGCTTACTAAATGGCTGAGTGATTATTTTCAAGAAAAATACTAGCCCTTATCCATAAAGCAAGAAAGAAACAAAACAATACAGGCATATTTGATGCAAAATTTCAAGCCTTTAAAAATTGCCTTTGAAGTTAAAAAGAAAAAAAGGGAAGTGAGAGGAAACTGAAGGATATCTACATAGATATATCTTAAAATGATGATCAATAGAAACATGTTTTCTTACTTATTAATTTCTACCAATTTCTATTAATTACTTTAATAACTTTCTACTAATTAATTTATTTGGCAACAGCTGATTATCTCAGATAAAGAATAGCACTTCCTCTACAGCTTTAAACATCTGAAGAATTATTAACTGGTGGCAAGCACATAAAAATGTGGACTCAGTTTCAAGTAGAAAAGAAAATGGACTGTGAAAACATATAGGAGCTTTTCTTATTTAAGACTGGATTATAGTAGAAGTAACTACATGGCAATAATCTTTGTAGTGGATGAATTTCCAAATGTGGAAGAAACAATATTGTGTTGGAAAGATAATGCTAAACAAACTAATATCTTCGTATGGAAAGTTTTACTGAATGGCAACAGGTAAACATTAGACCTTACCTAAAATCCATCTCGAACTCACAATTCTTAATTTAAAATTGGAAATTTTTCTACAAAATATTCTCTACATTCTGAAGGAAATGCTTACTGGAGGAATCATTTTTTCAATTTCTATTCCCATCCTTTCCGAGGAGGTCAAGATGATAACATTTTTAGATGTTTATTCTAAATTATTTATTCAAATTCTACTCTAAGAGGTGCGTAAAGTAAGTAGCTACTTATTTTCCACAAAAACTTTCCTGTACAGAGTCCAGATGCACTTACTCTGCCAATATCCAATCAATGTGCAAGGTGCTCCCCTCCAGCTGCATACTGCACAATCTCATCACTTTTACACTAGATTGCTTATATCCTCTGTTATTTTGAATGACGCCTATAAAATTATTTTCCATTGTATGAGTTTCTTAAGATGGATTTTGAACGCCACAAAAGAAACCTGTATCCAAGCAAGTGGTTATCATCAATTTCAACACTTTGGCATAGACAGAAATTTAAAATTAGAAAACCATTTCAAAAATTAATGAAACAGACATTACAAGGAAAACTCAGGCTCCGGCCAATTTCAAGAGAGTTTGAGATTTTAACTGATTCTTTCTCAAATGGTAGTGACATCATTCAGTTCTTAAAATGACCACCTAGATTCAAATTACGTGAGAGATAGTACACTTACCATTAATCCATTTGGCTTCTGGATTATGAACTATGAACTCTTTTCTGAAGAGATCTTCCAAAGACAATCTGGTTTCAGATGAATTTGCAAGTTCATCTAAAATAAGAATAACAGGATCATTTATGATGGTTATTAAAACAATATAATTAGCGTGGTTTGCAAAACACTGGAATTAGAGGACTAGAATACATAGTTCAGAGGTCTTGTTGAAATCATTAACACTACTACCTTGCTCTAACGTTTTTCACTGGAAGTAGTAGTTTCATTTTTCTTCAGTAAAGCTTGAGGAAACAAAGCACTAGTTGGTACCTTACAGACAGGACAGCTGAAACATGAAGTGTGTGGCTGGTTACTATTCTGGCAATGTAGCAGTATAGCTCCTTCTTCCCACCCCTCTACTCCATGAGAAAACTGATTTCAAACCAATACAAGAATTTCATCACAGCCACAGGATGAAGGCCATATTGATCACCTTTTACAAATAGAAACTAAGTAATATACTCCTGTAAGTAATTGGTTTGGAGCCAATCTCATGTATTTTAGGATCCAAATCTTGGGAGGAAAAAAAAAAAAATCAAATGCACATTTTATAGCCTGTACTTGTTCTTGAGTGATAAGTACTGAAGCCTTGTTTTTTTAACCTTGGCTATCAGCTTTGTGTTTTTCCCAAAACATGAGAGGGCCCTGAAAGTACTTTGGCAAGTTGGCCAACACTTATTTTAAGGTGCCAGCTTTTAAAATCAATTCCATACTTTAGAAATGAAAAAGGAAACTCTGCTAAATTCTGCTTTTCTTGTGCTTTAGGTTAACTAAACAATAAGTTTTAGAGATTGAAAGGTGAACTGTCACACAAAAGTGTGATATCAGAGGCAGTATTCAAGCAAAAATACTATTTTGCTGTCAAAACACAAAGCTTCCAATGAATATTCATATATATCAGCTATGTATTTCAATGGCTTTAGTCTATTTAGAACTGCAGTTGCCAAAAGCTGTGTTGTACGTCCCTAGTGCACTAGCAGAAATATGCACCTATTCACTTCCTACACAATCAGCCAGACAGCTGCCTACTTGAGTCTTTTAATCATTTTATCATTATCGGGGAGGACTGTCATAGATTACAGCAGTATCCCTCTGTTCTATGAGCTTTTCTCTCCAACATATGGGCGCTCCAAACTACTCTGTGAAAGGAGCTTTTATTTTTTAGAGTCAGATTTTGTCTTTCTGGATTGCTGATATTAGGTATCACCACTGAGGACAGACCCATAGGAAATAGTATCTAGAATCACAGCAATCAAGGAACAATATTGTCATCTTTATGTTGACCCAATGTGCTACAGCACAATTTTAACAAAGAAAACGTGCTTTGTAAAGGTAGCAGTATCCTGTAATGCCTTTCAGATGAAAATATGAGCCCTTCACAGTGAATGAAGTCCAGCACTGTTCAGTTATCAGTGTTTATTCAGCCAAATTTCTCAATTAGAGGCCTGGCTGAAAGCTTACAGAAATGAACAACAACATGTTTTGTTGGTGTGTTTTTTTGTTTGTTTTGGTTTTGTTGTTGTTGACCTTTTAAATGTCAGCACTGCCTGCTGCAGCCACTTCATTTAGTATTCATAAGGTGCATCTTTGCTGCATTGGAGACAAACTCCTTTCTAATGCAAGCCACACATTTAGGATAGATGCAAGGCCACCATGGCTGCTCACTCCATGGCATTTCTGTGTTTTGCATGCACCTCCCTCCCAGCTCTCAATAAGCACTTACTCACCGTAATCAACTCCTCTTGTACATGATATAAGGTTAAGCATGCAGAGTTTTTCAAATCCTCTCTCACAAGACAAGCGTTCTAATCCTTAAATAAGCTTTTTGGCCTCTTCCTACCTTCCAGGGATAAAAATAGTCTATTTGGGTTGTTTTTTAGTCTCCAAGTCCAGCACAGGACAGAATATTCCACTTGTAGTCTTACCAGAGCTTTACAGCAGAGTAACATCATCTCTCACGGTTTATACCTAATCCCTCTGTTCACACATCATGGGACCTTGTTAGCTCTTTCTCCTGCCACACATGGAGTTTTTATCTTCAAAGCAAGCATATGTTGTTACATATGCTCTGCTCAGCTCCACAAATATATTTCCTGTCTTCAAAACACTACCTTAGACTTAACAGCATCAAATACTGGGTTCTTCATAAGCCCATTTTCCCCACTCTCCATAACCTTGCATACTACCTATCCCACAAGCTGTTTTCCATCACTCATTCTGGTATAACAGACCCTGGTCCTGATGCTGTTTGTGATCTCAGAAGGATTCCCCTTCTAACCTTTCATGAGTCTATGTTTCTATTTGTTGTGACCCCTCATATATTGCCAGTCTACCAACTATCAATCAAGATCACACAAGCTGTTATGCTGCCACAAATTGTCTTGCCCAAGACAGTTTAGTTATCACAGATTGTTTTTTAACTGCTTTAATAAAACTCAATAGAACAATACATCAAGTGTGTGCAGAAGACTATCAGAGAAGAAAGGCATACCAGTTCTGCTTTTCTGTCTTTTAATTCACAAGCCTGACAAGTAATCTTGAAATAAATTGGATTTTAGAGTAACTTTTAAAATTGATGTTAGCATTTCTAAGATGAAACAATCAGCATCTTCAAACGACTTTAATATATGTTTGAAAAGTTGTGAGGTTTTTTTGGTTGGTTGGTTGGTTGTTTTTTGTTGCTGTTGTTGTTTTGCAATGCAAAGTCATGACCAAAATAGAGCCTTGTTTGTAATCTTGGACACTAGCTTTCCAGCTTTCCACTCTGACAATATTGCATATTGTGTAATTTTTGAGTAAAATATAGATTTGACATTAAAAAAAAAAAAAAAAAAAAAAAAAAAGTACTTTACCTTCCCCAAATGCTTAGTTTATGTATAGCAAGATGAATTTCTCACCATGTGAGCTCTCTTTACCCCCTCTCCTGGGTAAATCTTTCCTGAGCACAGGCACAAATTGGTATGCATTTTGCAAAGCACTCTTTATTTCTAGTCTACCTTTTTCCACTGCATGTTCATTACCACATTACCTAATACCCTACTAGCTCTCTTTCTTTTCCATTTTACATTTAAATGAATTATTCCTTGAAGGAATCATATTTCACTGTCCTCACGCTATTTCCCATGGATTTCTATATTTTGGTATGAAATTACATAGAAAATGAACACAAGATTACAAAAGATATAAACAAAATCAAATGTTAAAAACCAAATAACTACACCATACTTTAAACACATTAACAGTTCAACAACTAGTTCATATTTATTCAAAATGACAAACCTGTTCATGTTTACTAAACTAGAAGATGGCAAAAATAGAAATTGAATAGCCTTATTATTTTTCATGAGTTTACAGTATATTATTTTTGCAAATGAGTAATTAAAAATAGTCTAAAACCTCAAAATCTACTTTCTAGCTTAGAAACTAAAATTAGAAATTATTTAGTGCAGTATATTAAGTCAAACTCCTTACTGAATTTTCTGTGGGGATTAAAAAAAGTTTTAACACTAGAAATAAAAGATTGATATTAAATGATGCCTGAGAAGTGGAAAAACACCACTAGTTAACTGTGTGCAAGCTAACATCTATAATTAAAAATTAGCTTAGTTTGTATTACGTTTGTACGAAAAAGGAAAAACAACTTGACATAAAACAGATATCAAAACTTGCTTGATAATTTATGGTAGTTACATGGAGGCTATATGTAATTAAACAGAAGCTTGAATCTTTTTTGTAATGGGTATCTACTTCAGCAAAAAATATTTTAGTTCATTTTCTATTCATTTAAAGAGCAACATGAGAAATGGTATGGTTGGTCCCAACCCTGTTCTAAACAGAATATTTACCCACTGGACATAATCCCAATAGATTCCATTCCTGGAGCTTGACTTTACTCCAGTTTCACAAAAATATCTTCCATGAGTTTGGCTGACCTACATGCTCCCTAAAGGAATTTTTCTGCAAAGCTGTCCTTCTCCCCATCAAGAGGTGTCAAATCAAACCATGTTTTGCTAGAGTTCAGAAGCCATTCTGCTCAACAGTAATTACCACACATCAGCAAACATGGTTTAAATGCTGATATCAACATATGTCAGCAAAGGAGTCCCAAATACAGCATTCAAGCCTGCCACATCTTCAGAAACTGTAAGCTACCATGAAGGTAGAACTACTGTCATTCCCAAAAAGAGGATCAGCCTTAAGTGTTGCAGCAAAACACCTCAACAAAAGTGGCAGTGTCTGGACAACTCTTAGAACATTTTTAATATAGAAGCTTTCATTTTCTAGTACCTCCAACTGAACATTCCTCGGTTTTGAAATACAGATTTACATGAGGTCTTAAGGTAATTCTTACCATGTGGCACATCCTGCCATGATGCAAAGCTTGAAAACACACTGATTTAAAGGCAGGAGTGAGGCACTGACCCCAGAAAGTCTACCTGTGACTATTTCAGTATGTTCATGTATATGATGAAACTTCAAAAATGTAATAAAATAAAAACAGAACAGGTAAGATACCTGTGTTACGTTTATATTGACATATAATGATAATATCTGAAAAACAGCTATTTCCGTTTCTCAGATATTATCAGCTATTTAGCACTGGCCATTAATTCACAATATAAAGAAAGAAAGTTATTATTCTCAAAGTATTTTCTTTTATTGTCTCTTAAATACTTCTCCAGTAATCTCCAAATATCACACTAAAAAAAAATCACTGTTTTCATAATTAAGTTGGCCTAGACAGACTTTTCTGAAACTCCAGGTTCTTCCACACTCAAGCCCTTTACTTTAACATGATTATATTCTTTGATATCCTCATGTACTTGCTTTTTCAATACACTTATCTAATTGCAGAGAAAACTATCAGGGATAGCTGTCTGCAAGCCTTCTACTTCCACCTAAAGAGCAACATAACAATTTATATTTGGTGGACACAATGGTTTTGTTTTGCTTTTTTCCTACTAAATCTACAGAGAAACATTCACAGAGAGCAGTTAAGAGTCCCAGCGACAGGTAACAGGACTGGGAGGCCATTCAGACCCTACTACTAATCCATTACACGACTGAAATTGCCTGTTCTTCCATTTTTCAGTCTCCTTGTTGAGAAAACTAACATATTTCTAAAGCTTCCAAGTATTATCACAGATGAAAAACAATATACAGGAACCAAAATATTACCAATATTATTATTTGTTTACTAAAACCACAACCATAATTGTGACACAGATATTGCATTTTGTACTTTAGCAGAAGCTACAATATTAACAGCTCAAAATACATCCATTTTTGTACATTCAAGCAATAATTCATGTCATAAAATAACAGTACTTGTGTTTTAGGAGTAGCTAAAGCCTCTTTGAAGCATTTTACATTTACCTTACATACATGTAGAATTTAAAAACAAACAAACAAACAAACAAAAAACCAACTTGTTAGCTGATTAAAAAGCATTGATCCCTCTATCAAACAAGGCATGAAAGATGTTGCTTAAAGCTTGAGATAAGTCAAAGGACAACGTATTAGTTGTACAACTACTAGTGTACGTGGACCTAAGGGTTTCTCACATTGTGGACAAAACAATGTATGAACAATTGTAAGTAAAACAGATCATTTCTGTTGGATTTAGCATATCAATAAATACAATCTTGCCTTGACATGAATTTCACTGAAATGCTTTATAAAAAATTAAGAGGCTTCTGAGCAGCCACTGTCTAAAATTATCATTATACCCCTAAAAAGAAGCAGAATGATGCACAGTGCTTAGGGAATTTGTATGAAGTCTAAAAGACACTCATCAGTACAGGCAGAACTAAATAGAGAAAGAAATCTAATACTTAAAACAGTAATATTGGAATTGAATTGCAAAAACAAATATTTATAACAACACATTTTTACCACCTTAGCACTAATCACTTTGCAATAGAAACTTTTGAAGTAGTCTCCTGAGTTTTTCGCTTCCTTGACTGCTAAACATCCAAAAGTCATCTTGGATATATATTCAGAATCAGACAGCTTCAGCTACAGTGCTTAGCACCCATCAGCAAAGCAGCAGAGTATCAGAACATTATCTTCCAAAAACATATTAATCATGAAAGTGAAGGAGGAGCAGCACTGATTAAGATCAAAAGTAGGGAAAGCAGCTGCCCCACAATGGACCTCTAAAGCTTTCTTTGGTAAGCATTTTTAACCTGCAAGAAACCCCAGTTTTACAGACTAGATCATTTTTGGAAAAAGGTTTTTATTTATATCAGGTTCTACAGTCTCTTTGGGATATCTTAGAACATCTGAGCTGACAAAACTACTTTTCACTCGCATGACTTGAACAGAAATGTAGGTCCCAGCTTACATCAAGTTTTCAAGCAAGTTCTCTGGATTTTGAAACCACCCCAGAGATGTTGTAAATCACTAAGTTTTTTTTTTTTTTTTTTTAACATATTCAAAAATAATAATATTTCCTTAGGTTGATTATTCTTTTTTTTCAGCAAGTGCCTTCAAAGAATTCAATTTATGTTTTTACATCATTAATAATTCTATTCAAATATAAGAGCCAGAACTGATGTTTATCATTGTGAATTCCAGCATAACACTTCTGAGATTTTACAAGCTGTGAAAGAAAGGAACCTCTCACTGAAAAGTAAAACACTCTTTTGTCTTAAAGTGTACCATGACATCCCACTATTTGCCCTCTGTGTCTGACTTTATTATTCCCTGAAGAAACTCATATGCACTGAGACTAGAGAGGCACAACTCTGCTTTTATTTGTCTCAGAATGTCCTAAGTGGAAACATGCAGTCATTTCTTTATCATTACCTTGGACAGCACCGTTCATATGTAGCAAATTTTTCTACAAAATAGAGGAAGTAGAATAGCCCAGAATGTTCCTACATACTTGCTTTGCTTCTCAGGTATCTGTCTTGCTACCTCTGAGAAGAAAAGCTTTTTGATCTTTTTCCATTCAGTTTTACCACCTTCCTTTCAAGCAGCAGCAGTTTATTAGCATGCTTGCTCAGGCATGGACCCACCAAGCTTCCGTTGATGACTACTTCATCCTGTGGTCAAATGGTGCAGAACCATCATTTAATGCAGAGCATTTTGCTAGCCTTTTGGCTTATACAAATTGAACTCACATGGCAAAACATTTGCAGACCAATATTTATTAGACACACCATCCAAATCAGATACTTTACATCATAATTTCAAATCTGATAGAAGGAATTCAAATTTGACAGGAAAAAATCAATTCTGATAGAAAGAATTCAAAGATACACATACATGTAGGTAAACAGTTGCTGCCCCAGCAATAAAATCTTTAGAAAATAACAAGGACCAAATTAGAACAAAATAACCATTAGGCATAATTATTTATATATGTGCAGTTGTTATTTTGTCTATTAATTGCCCCCCACTTTTTTTTTTTTTTGAGTTTTGACTTTTGAGGCAGGGGAAGTGAACTGTTAACTAGTTTCCTTAGTTTTAGGTCACATAGTTGTTTATTAAGAGAAAGAAAAGGGAAAAAGATTGTGCAGGTACATATGAAAGATGCATGCTTCTGATTCAGTAAGTTTCATTCTCAGTATTAGTTTCCTATGATATATAGCCTTCTCTTAGCTCATCCGTGAATCAGAAATTACACTAAGACAAGTGATAAAATCTTAACATTCAGCTCATACCCACTGAGGCTAATGAGGATCGCTTGTAGCTACCTCAAGGCTGACACAATCCTAAGAACCTGCTGCCACAGCCAAATGCCTCTGCTCCACAAGGACTCCAGTAACTCTCAAGTCCCTAAAGGCACCAAATTTATAGTAGCCAGAAGTTAAAAATTCTTAAGGGCAAGAGATATTTTAACATTTATATGTCATTTTAATGACTGCATTATGAATCATACACCTTCAGTAAGAAAAAATAAAGAAATAGGTTACCTGGGGTTAAAAGAATGACAGACATAGTGATGAGTGAACAAACAACTAGAATCACCAGCAGCGCAATAGCAATTCCCTTCCAGTTCCTCTGCGGAGGGCTGTTACTTCCAAGTTCCTACAGGAATGGAAAAAAATAAAATAAAAGGAAAAGACCATGTTTCATAATCATATATTTCCAGAACTATTATCAATAGGAAAAATTGCTCAGTGCATGCTCATAATCACAGCATGGGAGTTGATCACTATCCCTCCCCTCTCAATAGTACACATACATAACTCCAAAGGTGCATATCTGAGGTGCATAACTCATGTTTTTTTTTTTTATTAGTTATATCTTTTTTTTTAATACATGTAAATTTATATCCCCTAAGAGACAACAAAATGAGCTTATATAATCTATCCAAAATATGACTGGTGTTAAAACGTGCTGAACATAAATTTCAGGACAATATCAACTAGCAGTTTATAAGATAATTACAGAAATGAAACACAGCAATTTACTGTAATTCCACCTAACGTGGTATGGACCATAAAGGTTTAAATACACATCCTTTTTAATGTACACTATTAAACTTATTTGTAATAGAAAACATTTACAGAACAGCCTGAGGCTCCATCCAAAGCTGAACAGCCCTTCTTTCTCTGTACAGTAGCTCAACTGTAAACTGCTCCCTTATTACTCATAAAAATCAACAGTAGCTTGTAACTAATGTTAAATGAATGCTTCTGTAACGACTAGTATGCTTAAACCTATGTTCTCTGTAGTTCATGTTTAACTCCTACTAACTTCAGCTGAACACAATTTAGATTTGTTAATAGCCACAATGCACTGCCTGTATTCACAGTACAATTTTAGACCAAACAACAGGTTAGCATCCTACAACAGAATGATAAAAACAATAAGACAATTGTCTCACACGATCCTAATTTGCTCCCACAGTAAGCATTTTTTCTATCTATATCCACTCTCTCTGCCACATTTACCCATATATACCACTATCATCTGAAAATTAAACTGCTGTGATAACACTCTCTGTGAAAAGAAACATCTCTGAAGATATTATTTGAGCCTATTTACAAAGCTGATTTACATTACATGAATGCAGCACAACTTTTAACCAAGCTCCACTGAATACCAGGTGGAGTAAAAAACGTGAAATTTAGCCCCCGCACATGGTTTTGAAAGTAAGGCCACATACAATCTCTCTCCCTCCCCATGACCTGGACCTGCACCAACAAGGCTCTGTGAGACAGCTGCCGCCAAATACATAGGGAGAGACTCCCAAGAAAGATGAAAGATTATGATGAAAGATTACTTGTAGTCTCTCCTATTTGATCTGGGTTTGTCACAAGCACACAACAAGATACCATTTTATCTTTCCCCTTTCTGTAAGCGAAATGGATAGGGTAGGTCTGCCACCTCAGCCATCTTCTGCAGGGAGGACTAACCTGAAGGAAGACATCTCCTGCTATGTTTCATAAGCTTTCAAAAAGATATTAACACTTTGTCACACATGGATTATTTCATTTGTGTTTTCCAAATTATATATGAGTGAGAAATTGAGATGTTTTAAGAACAGAAAATGACATGTTCTTATACTTTTTTGTTTAGAATACACCGCTTCTAAACCACATACCACCCAGAACAGCACGTTTAACAGCATCTTGATTTTGAACCCCTCAACAGTGCACTTCTACCTGCGCAAGACAGTTTTTCTCCCTGGTTCTCTTTTCAAGGAACTTCAAGGGAAATTGCTCTTTGCAGTCTTCAAGCAAACCCACAGAGGAAGTCTTGCAGAAGCCCTCAACCCAGTGCAACCCCTGTCAAGGAACTGCAAGAGGGACCTGGGGGTCATGAGTCAGCAACGTACCCTTGTGGCCAAGAAGGCTGATGGTATCCTGGGATGCATTCAAAATAGTGTTGCCAGCAGGTCAAGGGAGGTGACAGTCCCCCTCTACTCAGCCCTGGTGAGGCCCCACCTGGAGTATTGTGTCCAGTTCTGAGCTCCCCACCAAAAGAGGGACATGAAACTATTGAGGCGAGTCCAGAGGAGGGCTACAAAGCTGATTAGAGGACTGCAGCACCTGTCATACAAGAGAGCTGGGCCTGTTTAGCCTGGTAAAGAGAAGACTGAGGGGAGACGTCGTCAATGTATATACATATCTGAGGGGAGAGTGCCAAGAGGATGGAGCTGGTCTCTTTTCAGTTGTGCCCAGCAACCGGACAAGAGGCAATGGGCACAAACTGAAGCACAAGAAGTTCTGGCTGAATATGAGATGGCATTCCAATACTTGAGGGTGACAGAGCACTGGCAGGAATTGCCCAGAGAGGTTGTGGAGTTTCATTCTCTGGAGATATTCAAAACCTGCCTGAATGCCATCCTGCACAATGTGCTCCAGGTGATCCTGTTTGGCAGAGGGGTTGGACTAGATGACATTCAGAGGTGCCTTCCAATCCCGCCCATTGTGTGATTTTTCTCCTGCCCTGAAATGGCCACCAGGCTCCTTTCACCTGTCTGGCGTAGGTGGTTGCCTATTCCTGAATAGCCTTATAGATAGTGGGTCTTCAAGGGTGTATATCAGCATCATACACACGCAGTTTTGTGATCCCTTGGCTATGAGGTTTGGATGGATCCCAAGACAGTCCCATTGCAAAATCTCTAAGGTCTTGACATAAATTGAGATCCAATCTATTATTTTCACTCAAGTAAGAATTATTTCGATATTCATAGTACAGTCTAGAAAATTAGGACTTATCCTAAAGAAAACAGTATAAGCCTTATTGTTATGACATTTAACAGAGTCCAATTGTAACAGAAGAACTTGTAGTTTGTATAAGTAAGCTGTGGTGAAACAGCAGCAGTTATTCCCTGAGAATTGTGAGAGGCTACTGCAAAGTATTGAATTAAAATGACAGAAGCTGGACAAGTTGATGAATGTCCTCTGTACTGAAGCCTCTAAAAATTGTACAAAGTCTTTATTATTCAGAAGGTTCTTCTCTGAAGATGTGAATATCATTCAGTTTCTAAAAATAAATGTCCACTTTAAATACTTCTACAAATTTTTGAAAGGAAAAGATCAAATAGCACACAAAGCTTACTCATACCCACAGTGAGAAAGAAGTCAGGTTTCCAGCTAGAAACTAGTTTGCTAGCTGAAAACACTGGAAACTGGCATACAGAGAAAGACTTATCTCTAAGACAAGATAAGAGATAAATTGGTTTTAATAACTTGGTAAAATTGATTAATTCCAATTTATTAAAAGTTATTAATGAGGATGACATTATGAAAAGACAACATTCTGTAAGACCTTTGTGAAGATAATGCACACAAAAAAAAGATTTGATGAAACATCAGAAAATTACTATAGTAATGGAAACTCATAATACAATCAGTATCAAGGACATCTTTGATCAACTTTCTTGATGTTAAGCAATGCAACTTTTTGAGAACAACCTATGAAGTTTAAAAATACAATAAGTTGTTAAATAAATAAGATATATTTGGCCTTGCACTGCTTTTTGAATGATATAAACAAGAGGAACTTAAACAGCTTTTTAGACCATAAATCATTGCCAAGACAGAAGCTGTGACTTTTTGGTAAGATAGAGGCATTCAAGAGGAAATATCTAAGAAGCTGTACAATGAGAAGCTTCTGACATTGTAAAGTTTTCCCATAACTAACAGCTAACTGGCAGATGGAGAACATGCAGATGGAGATTTAAGGATCTAATCTTCTTAAAAGGCTCTTATATTAAAGTGGTTTGAAAAAATATCAACTTCTGAAGACGGTGTTTTATATATAATACTATCTATAATGTTATTATAGATTTTACAATCTAACTCTAATGAATCAGAAAATGGCTGCCTAAAGTGTAATACAATTGCAAGCATTCTCATTATTTATTTAAAGTACCTTTTTCATGAGCCATTTAATTGCATTGTTGATAAAAACAATCCTTAAGTAATATATATTTCTGAATGTAGTTTGTGATTGAGTAATACCTTACTAAAACACATCTGCAAAACAAAATATCTATTCTAGTTCATGCACAAGAAAAGTACACCAATGTTGTAGGTCAAATTGCTTTTGGCCTATTCCTGCCAAATGCTAAATGCTAGAAAAATTCATCCAGAAAACACAAAAGGCAAATAAAAATCAAATATGCGGAAGTGTTTTTCTTTCGCCTCTACTAGGTTGCTTTCTAAATATAACACAATTTACTGACTGATGATGAACTGATTCACTGCAAGCATGAAAATCTGTAAAGTCCTAGCAGGACGTGGCTTTGAATTTCAAACTATTTTACAGAGTCATTAAGGTTGGAAAAGACCCTAAAGATCATCTGGTCCAACCATCACCCTACCAGCAGTGTCACCCACTAAACCATGTCCCTAAGCATAATGTCCAACCTTTCCCTGAACACCCTCAGGGATGGTGACACCACCACTTCCCTGGGTAACCTCTTCCAATTCCTGACTACTCTTTCTGAGTAACCTCATCCAACAATGCTGAGGAGATATAGTCTCTATTTTTCACAAAATATGGAGTCTGACATATATGTTTTATCTTTAAAATAAATAACTAAATAACCTTCATAATGGATGTTACACCTGAGTCTAACAAGAAGATATAATCCAATGTTCTATTACAATAGAAATAATAAGATTCATTTAGTTTCCATTAAATTCATTTCATATAGAGATATCTTTCATCATTTGACACATAAATTAAAGTGCTTATTATTTAAGTGTGCTGTTTCCTTTGAAGTAGCATTGGGGATATTGATTTGGGAAAAAAGAATCAGTTAAAATTAATAGATACATTAAAAAAAGTAACAGCCTCTAATATTTTCAGATTTGCACCTGAATAAACTTAGCCTTTCTTGTAAGCAGCAAAACCAGAAGAAAATCACAGCTTCCTTGTTAAAGCTTAACAAGTTGAACAGTTTTATTCTTAATCAATGACGATAAAAAGCCTTTAAGACGATTTTTCCAGCAAGCATGCATACAACAAAGGCAAAAACAAAATGTCAGAAAAACACTGCCTTAACGTGATGCATTAATGAGTCTGGTTTTTGAATTGCCTTAACAGCACTTTCCAAACTTCTCGGA